AATATTTACACCTTAGCCTTCCAGGCGATGCCCCTCACCACCTGGGTCGCCTTCACACTCGTCTCCACCCTCCTCACTACACACCACTTACGGCCGACCTCTCCCAGCAGACCGCATGTATGTACCGTATAAGGCAGAAGACAAGCGCCAGATGAGCGCAGTCGTACCACAGCTCCGATACCAAATTGCAAGGAAGATGAGCATTAGCGAACTTCAGCGATCAAACAGCATCATACATATGAGCCCAGATAGTCTTGACCTCAAACCACAGCAGACTTGCATCACGAGATACACCAATAAGAACATACCAAGAGTTCAAAATTGACAATGCTGTGGTCCCATCATCATCAACTAAGAACCAGAGTTGATATCCTATTGGCGCTCGGTGCCCAGACTACATGTGGCAGATCCTATCTAGCCTATACTACGAAGCAGAATGAAGACATCAACAACGTTCCAAAGTACGAGCATATGGCGACCAATGTCGCACGCTTCAGCACCAGGTATGTCTCTCGCAACACTCGCAACCCCGATCCACACCGCACAGATGCCACTAGCACCCAAGGACCACCCTGCGCTTCACCCAGCATACATGTTACCTGCCCAGTCGGGCACTGAGAGTTCAGCCAAGGATCCGCATTGTGATGAAAAGGACTGAATGGACAGTGGACTGCTAACGTAATATCAACAGACAGTGTACATCCCGATACATGAACAATGGCATTTAATAGCACAGCGGAAGACCTGGAGATAAGTCCTGACCTCACCTGGACTGTTACGACATCCCATCATACATCACACATGTGAGAGGGAGGGAAGGGACCGCATACATAGACGAAGGTCCCTCCTGCATACACGCACATGGGGAGATACCACGGATGAGAGATGGAGGGGGGAAGGAAGGACGAAGATGGAGGCAAGGGAGAAGACTAAGATCGCAATAGCGAAGTTCAAAATAGTTCCTTGCTGAAGTCAAACCAAATGTCTGCCCAAAAATGTCGAACCAGATCCTGGGCCAATGCCCGTGACAACCCCTACCTGTAGCCCTGCAAGTAAACCACTTTCACTCTCGTAGGCTGCCGAAGCAGTGAAGTCAGATAGTGAGAGGGTAGGAGAGAGATGGTGGACTGAGAGGAGGAAGAGGAAGAATTCTTTCTCTCTCTTCTGGATGCCAGGTACTAACCGGTGATGGTGGCGCTGTGCTGCAGGTACCTCGCTGGCGAGCTGGAGCTATGGCGCCTCGGGTAAGTCACTCGGTGAGTGGCGCTCTGCTGCAGGTACCTCGAAGACGAAKCTGGAGCTATGGCGCCACAGGTAAGCATCCCTGGCCTCCGCGAACCTCCTCTCTCCACTACTCTGGTCTACTGCTACTAGCKCCCAGCGCTGAAGACTACTGCTAACGCTACTCTACTACTGCAGCCGAATCCTGAAGATTACTGCCTCCTGTAGAAGTGCACGTTGAGTGCCTAGGCAGTCTCCTCTCGTCTCTCCCAACCTGTAGGGCGGGCCAGTCTTATATAGTGCTGGCCCGTCCAGGAGGCTGCTCTTGCCAATGCCTGCTGTGCTAGCCCTTGAGGAAGCTTCAGGGCAGGTCACTCCTGCCAATGCCCGAATGTGCTTGTATCCGGGCAGGTTGGTCTGACGAGGGGCCGAGAATAGCCCTCAGTTTCAGGCTAAAAAGGCTCAGGCCTTTTTTTAGGCTGAAACGATGCAGGGTCTGTGGGCCCCGGATGTTAGGCTTTTGTGTTGAACCGTCATGGGGCCTGTAGGCCCGGAAATAGCCCTCAGTTTCAGGTTGAAAAGGCTCAGGCCTTTTTTTGGCTGAAACAATGCAGGGCCTGTGGGCCCCGGATGTCAGGCTTTTGGGCTAAACTGTCATGGGGTCTGCAGGCCCGGAAATAACCCTCAGTTTCAGCGTGAAAAGGCTCAGGCCGTTTTTGGCTGAAACGATGCAGGGCGTGTGGGCCCCGGATGTCAGGCTTTTGGGGTGAACCGTCATGGGGTCTGCAGACCCTTATTTCCAGGCCTTGAGCCCGAAATTCAGGCTTCCAGCCTGAACGACGCAGGGCCTGGAAAATGGCCCTCCTGTGCAGGCGCAACATGTAACACCCCCCCCTCCTTATGAAGTCAAGCCGGGTCGAGGGCGCAGCCGACGATCTGAAGGTGGAACCTGGACGCGGTTGCGGCGTGGAGCCGAAGATACTGGCTTGCCTTGCATCTTTCGTTCATACCGTACGAGAACATCTGGAGCTGTCGCTTGAAGTTCCGCACGGGTCAACCAGCGGTCGGCTCGGTGGGTGCAATACGCAAAGTGTAC